ATCGGAGAGCTCGAGGTGCCAGGCAAGCTCACAGGGCAACCCAGCAGGCCCAGCCCACAGGCCTGCAGGCAGAACTGCCTTCTTGGCAAGGCCCACCCCAGGTCTTGCAGGCCCAGCCAGGAGCATCCAGAGCACCAACAAATTTTCCCAGGGGCCCCACTAGATCTCACATGACTCCTCCCTCAGGAGAACCTGGCCCCTCTTCTCTAGAGCCTCGGGGCCCTCCTAGAGATCGTAGGACCTCTGGAAGAGGCAGAAAGGGCCCTCCAAAAGAGCGCATGATCATTGGTGCCACCTTCAGTGCTCCAAGGGGAGCATCAGCTTCCAGGGCATACCTGCCAGCTGCCTGGGCAAATGTGTCTGGCCCATCAGAGACCTTAACTGCCACCTCGGGGGTCTTTCCATCTACCTCTCATTTTCAGCCTGCCTCTTCTAATGCCTTTAGAGGTCCATCTGCCACCTCAGAGAGCCCAAAGTCACTGCCATTGCCTCTGCAGGATCCTTATGCCTGTGTAGAGGCCCTTCCTGCAGTTCCCTGGGTTCCATATGCCGATGCGAATGCTTCATCAGCATGTAATGCTGTACCCACCATCCTGATGGTGACAGCAACTGCCCCCCAGGCAAGTGCCCCTGGCGCAGAGGCCTCCAAGACTGCAGAGCCACCACGGCGCTCTGGCAAGGCCACCCGGAAGAAGAAGCATCTGGAACCCAAAGAGGAGGATTGTGGCCATAGCATGGCCTCGCGTGACTGTGACTGGCGAGGCCCCAGACCCTGTGAGAATCCCAGGCAGAGTGACTGGGAGGTCCAAAGGGCTATGCAGCTTCTGGGGGACCAGGAATCCCTCTACACTCCACAGGGTCGTAATGACTGGGCATGCCCCAATAATTCTAGGGTTCCAAGGGGCTTCGATGGCCCCAGCACTTCACAGGACCAGAGGTTCTGTGGTGCCTCAGGGGGGTCTCAGTCATGGATGGTCTCTGAGCTCCCAAGCATCTCCTGGGGACCCAGTGCTGCTCTGGAGGACCCTAACGGGGAGAGTCAGCCATTGTCTCCCTTAGATGAAAGAGCAAATGCTTTGGTGCAGTTTCTCTTGGTCAAGGACCAAGCCAAGGTGCCAGTCCAGCTCTCAGAGATGGTAAATGCCGTCATTCGAGAATATAGAGATGAGAGCTTAGACATCATCAGCCGCGCCAATGCTAAACTAGAGCGCGACTTTGGGTGCCAGCTGAAGGAAATTGACACCAGAACCCACACTTACGTCATCGTCCAGAAGACGGACCCCCCTGAGTACAATGAGCTGACAACCCATTTAGACAGGCCAAAGTTCAACCTCCTAATGGTGGTTCTGAGCCTCATCTTTATGAAAGGCTACTCTATCAGAGAGAATCTGCTCTTTAGCTTTCTGTACCAGTTAGGACTGGATGTCCACGAGACAAGTAGCCTTTTCAGAAACACGAAGAAGCTCATCACCAGAGTGTTTGTGAGACACAGGTACCTAGAGTACAGGCAAATACCATTCACTGAGCCGGCAGAATACGAGCTTCTCTGGGGGCCCCGGGCATTCCTCGAGACCAACCGAATGCATATCTTGAGGTTTTTGTCCGAACTCTATGATAACCAGGCCCAGACCTGGACATGCCAGTACCTTGAGTCGTTGTCAGAGTTGGAATACAGGGACATAAACGAGGAGACCACTGACAGCGATGATGATTCCTATGGCCCCACCAGCAATCCCCATCCTCATTAATAAGTTTTACCTGGACAATCTTATCCCTGTTGGTACCAGGCCAAAGGCAACGGACAATGGGACAATGGGGGGTGGGGTGGGGGGGACACTCAGCTTTCTGATGTTTTTGTGATTGTTCTGTGTGTGTAAGTTTGAATTTTCAGCCTGTTTTTATATTTGCCAAAGCTTTTGTAAACTTGTGAGATATTGGTGTAAACTGACTGCTGTACCGTTTTGTATTTTGGCATCTGTATTTTTAAATGAGACCTGTGGTTCCCTTTTCTGTGTTCTAATTGTTATGTCATGGTATCAGAGTTGTGCTACCTTTGTGAAATGAATTGACAGTCTATCCGTCTTGTTCTGTTTATGTAAAACAATAGAATGTTCTTTGGTTGTGAATATGACTCATCAGCAAAACACTGTCTGGAGAAAAGTAAAGATCTATATCTATATAAATATACTTTTAGCATTACATGAAGTTTTTGTCTTTATTCTAATTTTGAACCAGGGTGGTGGGAGCCACCACACCCAGTGCACACACCCAAACACCAAGATTACTATCGGTGATAGTAAAACCCATGGGTGCTGACAGCCTCTCCCAAGGAAGAGTACTTCATTCACCTTAAAGTGCTGCCGTGACTGTGGTGGGTGGTGAAGCCAGAGATTTCCTTAAAGTGAAAGCAAAACTTCCTAAGTAAGACAGGCAGGCAGAATCAAGAGGGGTTTGTATACCCTCCATTATCTAATTTTCACAATAACCTTTCAAATTAGACGCCATGTCTAATTTGTAGGTGATGGCTATAAGACACAAATACCTTAATTAAAAGGCATATATGTGGTGGCACGCTGATAAAATTGTAATTCCAGGCAGAAAATCTCAAGGTTTTTTGGGGAAAAAAAAAAAAAAACAAAAAAAACGGGGAATAATCTACCTCAGGACCATAAAAATCAAGGTTTACTCGCCATGCAAAAAAACTCCAAAGAGATCCTGGTCAGTCATGTGGCCCATAGAAAATGTCCAGAATCTAAAATGTGGACAGCATCAATGCACTACACTCGTACCAGAATGGAAACGTGCTCCCTTAACACATTAGGATCCCACCATAGAAGAAGAAGAGCAGAGATATAAGAAGTTATGTATTTTGCAGATTAGAGGTGGCCTCACAAGTGGAGGGCAGGCAACTGCAGGCCACCTCCTTGGGAGGTAGTGTTCTATAAAAAACCCCTGAGAGGGTTTTTTTTTTTTTCCTCCTGGGCACAGTGAGGAAAAGATGACAAGGCCTGGACCCCCAGGGAGAGGAACCTGGCAAAGGGCTTACCAGGGGTTTTCAGGGGCAGCGGCGGGGGGAGGGGAGGGGGGAGGAAACTCATGTTCATGTGAATGTGGTACACAGGAAAAGACTGCCCAAAGGTCACAGCTTTTCCACAGAGAACTGCTGGCCACCTCTTGCTCTATCTCAAACAAGAAATCCAACCCCAAGTCTTCCCCATTCTTCCAGAAAAGCAGGGGACGGGCGCTGAGAGCAGCAATGATAGAACTTGTCTGCCACCTACTGGCGGTCAGCAGTTGCACAGTTGCTTCTGAGGCCATTGTCTCTCTAAGGCTTCCTTAACTTCACACTGGCGCTAATGGCTTTGTAACCTTTCCCATAATTTCGCTTCTGTCTGTGCCCAACAATTTCTCTCTCTTTTTTTTTTTTTTACATAATAGGCCAAAGTCAAACAGCACTTCATTGTCCAACCCAAGCTTCATTCAAGGATCACTAGCCTCCATCCTGTTGCACTGCCGCTTAGAACAAAGTAGCAAAGTCTATCCGGTCGTTGCAGAGCAACCTTTGTCAGGCATTGGCCCCTGTTCCACGCTTGACCTTCCTGAGTGCAAGTAATTTCGCCAAAGAGCCACTGTGACAATGCTTTACTAACATTTGGAGGGTTAGAGGACCCTGGCCGTCTAGTAATTCTCTATCTTTAGTGCTGGACAATATTAAAAGTATGCAGGGCCTTAGATGAGAAGAGATGTACCATGATGATAAACTGGTATACGGATCTAGTTAAACTTGGCATTTTATTATTATTCCTATGACTTCTTAGGGGAAAAAAAACTGTTTGTGTGTGGATACTAGATTAAGTTTCCCACACCTGAAAATGTGGAAGCTAGCTAACATCACCTGAGTGGGAAGCTGTACCCTGGGCACAGCTGGCTCCTACATGGGCTACAGTAGAAAAGTTCCTCGCCACATAGCTGATAGAAATGTTAATGGCTGGGAGCCTGTGTTAGATCGTAGCCCATCTGTGAGAAGCAATAAAAGACGCTTTTCTTTATGCATGCAAACCTAAATTATTCAGATATTCCAAAGGAGAGTTTAACACCTAACTTCCTGTGAAAAGCAGGAAGCAGAAACCAAAGAGCCAGGATATGTGAAAACAAAGTGCAGGAAGTTGGTACAAAGTCTAAATACTAACGTAGATATGCATTGTACAGAGCTTCTAGGCATCCAATGGAGGACAATAAAACACCCCTGAATAAATAAGTGGGAATAATTGGGCACAAAACCTATGAACAATAGCTCCTGAGCTCTTTTATCTCCCTCTAATTCAAAGGAGTATTATTAGATCACTATTGATTTCTATTGATTAAACTGGTGTGGAATGAAATAGTCACAGGAAACAGCAGATGTGAATAAGGTTATGATGAAAATTACTATAATTTACCCTGAAATCAACTCAACTGACTGCATCTTTAAGCGATTCAACCATGCAAATAGTTTATTTTTTAAAAAATCATCTCAGGAGGATATTTTCAATAGACACAATGTTTAGGAAAGGTGAAGACCTACTCCACAAGGAAAGTTGATGGTGAATAGGGAGGGTATCTAGTATTTTTGACTCTCATACAAGGCAAGATGGCTGAAAGACCTTAGATATCTGCACAAAACAAACTGCAGTTTGCCCCCAAGACATCCAATTTTGGAGACTAAAAATCCACGATGTCAGGTTGAAGAGTTAATGCTTACATTTCTCGAAACTGGATGCTAGAGTACAATAACTGCCCAATGATTGCAGCAGAAGCCCGTTTGTATTAAGCTATGAATTCCAATAAGGGGATCACCAAAACAATTGATTTTTTGCATTTTGTAATTAGTTAAATAAATTACAATTTAAATGAAGCTGTCTGAAGTTGAAAAAGGAAGGAAAACTATGTTCCATGTATAAAGTTATAAGAAGATAATGTCAGAATACTTATCTAAAACATGATGTCTTTCGCAATAATTTTATTCTAAATCATTATGCCTTGGAGCAATATGAAAAAGACCAGTTATTTGTCAAGGTCACACACCAACCAGCCTTTTTAGCAAACATGGGTTGAAAATCAACACTGTATATTTATCTCCAGTGTACGAACGGACTTTGGGAGCCCATTCCCTATGGAGGGATACTCTCTCATCCTAGAAACATGGCGGACAACAAAGGCCCTGCCCCTAATGATGTGACAGACTTGGATGATCCTCCATGGAAGGCCTCACCCTCCCTGGGGAGTGAATGGGGGTGGGATTGAGGGGAGACAGTGGAGGGAATAGGAGGACTGGAGGGAGAGGGAACTGGGATTGATATGTAAAATAAGATCGTCTCTAATTTAAATAAAAATTATAAAAAAAAATCAACACTGTGATCAAAGGAAATTTTGCTTTCCAGATGCAAAGGTGGAGTCCTCATGTCCTCAGTAATAGCAACTCCATTGCACATGTCGCTCATGTCATTAATTTGCCTTCCGAGTTGGAGAAACACCCACAAAATCTTGCCATCTTCTCACTGACTGTTGTAATACCCAAAGGGATGCAGGGACATCCCTGGGTGAAGTCCTATACCCTTCTGTCCATGCTAAAATCCTGGAAATACTCTTCCTCCCAGAAAGACTTTCAGGTAACAGCAGTGTTGTCATTGTTTACTGGCAGGCCTGATTCCTAATCCCCCCCCACCCTGCGTCCCACAGGCACCACTGGGGCAGCCCTTTCTCTGTGTTCCCAACTTTCAGTTCTGCTCTCCAACAGAACTCAACATAACAAGCAGCCCGTGGTCTCTAAGCCACCACAAAATGCCATAAAATTTCATCCACCTTGAAGCATGATGTGGCTGTCAGTGTTCCTGAGTAAAGTGCCCCCCTCAACTAACTTTGTTTATCCAGGCGGCCAAGGAACATCCTTACAGAGGAGCAGTGCTCAAAGAACTTAAAAATGAGACCAGCACGCCCTCTGCTGGACAGCTCGAAGAGTTACTCAGATTCTGAATTTAAAACTTACTTTTATTTCAAACTTTTTCATTTGGTATGTTTTGATCCAACTCCTCCCAGACCCTTCTAATCTCCCTACACATTCAATTCATGTTCTCAGCTTCCTCCTCCCTCCCTTCCTGTCTTTCCTACCTTTCTCACAAAATCAAAACAAAAATCAAAATAAATGAAAAACAGGCAGCAAGATAAAAGATCAAGAAAGACCCTAAAGGAAGAGAACTCCCTCTCCAATTTAGACCACACCGTTTTTATTCTGCATTATCCCCAGCCCAGAAGTGTAAAGGGATGGAATTATTAAATTATTATTATTATTATTATTATTATTATTATTATTATTGGTATTGGTACAAGGTCTGACTGGCTTCTCCAGAAAGAATCTTTTAGAAAGAAGGCCACTATGGATCCACCTTTGTGACATTTTTCTACTTTTTCCTGAATGCAAGAAATTTCTATTTTCCTTGTATCTCATGCATTATGCAGTGCTTCCTTGAGTCTTATGAAATTTTGAAAATAATACTTCCCTTCCTATTTGAAGCATCTTCCATTACCAGACCAACTAACCTTTTGTTTATTGACTTTCAGGGGAGTATCCTGGCTGTCTCAAAGAAATACTGTTTTCTGTATAAGTAGCCTATCTCTCTATAAGGTTGTCACTTACTTATGAGTGAGATGCACTGTTTATGTTATTGTTTATTGAAAATCACTCTTAGAAGTGATATTGGTAGTATACCCA